TCCCTCGGGGGTCCGAGTGCCTGGTTCGGGCTGAAAGGAAACGAGCTGGTGACCGCAGCGCTTCAAATCGCGATTATCTGCGTGTCTTTTGGTCCAACTGATGGATCGTTTGGCATTTCCTTCTATCATTTGCGGTTGAGAACCTGGCAGTTCTCGCATATTCTTGGCTCTTTGCTTGAGAATGGCACTGACGGATGTGTCTTCATTGGGATGGTCGGTTTTCCAATGAAGTTGGATGGATTTGTGCCTTTGCTTTTGGCCTGTGCAAGCTGGGAGACCTTTAAAGCACCATGGACATTCCCATTCTCGGCTTTCTTTGGGAATCTCATGGCTAGCGACAATGGGCTGCAATTTGAATCTGCAAAATTTGTCTGCATCTGTTTTGACATGGTGGGGGTGTCGACACTTGAGATGATTATTCCGCTTATAGTTCATGGATCTGCGATCAGTGGCAACAATTTTGATGTGACAAAGACGACGCGTCCAACAAAGCTCTTCTGATTGAGGGGGAGGCTCTGGATCTGACCATTGATTGACCTTTTGTTTTCCGTAAAGTCGCTTACGCTTGGTCGGCGGAGAATCAGGCATGCTGATGACACTTTCGGCTTGATTGATACTGTCCGGTTTCTCTTTCACCAAACTACGTGACAGCTGCAATGGTGATCCAATGGTTCTTGAGCAGGTGTCAGGTCTCTGATCGACAATTTGTGCCGTGAGTGGATTTCTTTTCAAGATGACATTTTCGCTGTCTTCAGGCTTTGTGGATGTGGATCGATATGTATGCACACTGTGACAGCTGGCTGCTTCGGAGTCAGCTGTTGTCTTGGCTTTTGGCGTCACTGGAGGTCTGAAATGACTACTGGACGCTTGTTCAGATTCAACATAGGTGTGTATACTGGAAGGAGTTCCAGGTGAATTGAGCGGTGCACGGCCGCTGCTGTTAGGACTGACTGGCTGTTGACGAATGGCTTTAGATTGGCGGTGTTTTCCGGCACCTGTGAGATCGATAATGATAGTAGCCAGATCAGCTGCCGTCTTCATGAGCCACGGTTTAGGCATACGCTGATTCTTGGGAGCATGCAAAGCTTTATAGTGGCATCCTTCGAGCACCAGTGACAATGGTTTCTCTTTTTGCCGAAGTCCCGCAATGCCATCGGTGCTGAATTTTGGTGCGAAGGTATAACGATCCCAGGCGGAGGTGTCAGGATTCTTCTTCCATATTGATAGTGCAAGACCATATTTTTCGGCTAGGCAGTGAATTGCAAGTCCGTCTGCCCATGTTGCTTGAAGTTCCTGTTGGTCCAGCCATTCATCAATATTTTCAGCTCTTTTTTTGTTACTTTTCTTGTTGGCTGCGTCTTGCACGTCGGGTGCAAACCATTCTTTGAGTCTTTCTTTGTGCTTTCGAGCATGAGCTACTGTGGCCAGCCGAAGTTCTGCCGCTTCGACTCTTGCCTCATCGCTTGTCAGCGTTCTGTCATTTTTGGCAACAGCTCGGGCTCCAGCGCAGGCGCGATAGAAACAATCGCCGTTGCCCTCTAAGTCTTGCAAAGTCCATTGTTGAGCCAAGGCGTCATCAGGGTTCAATGGGATGCTGGAAGGAGAGCAATAATAAGATTGCTTATGAGGCATGCTTGAAGTGGCGACAGGTGTTCGCATGTCTTGATCTGCATCTTCTTGTGACTGCGTGTCCAATTGAGTAACTTTGACTGGACTTCTGCTGCGATCGCGCTTTGACCCTGCTTTTGATTCAGGTTCCGAGAGGCCCTCATTTGCTTTAACTGGCTTGGCAATTGGATTGCTGCCTTGCCATGTATTTCTCACGGGTCTCATGTAATCAGCGAGTTTCGGAGCGGTTGGAGCAACAATCAGAGAAATGGTTTCTGAATCACTGATCTTGTAGTGGTAGGCATCTTTGTCAGCCATTGGAGCAATAGCTTTCAATCTCCATTCAGGCTTGTATTTAACTTTGTGGAAATCTGCCACTTCTGTCCAGCTGAGGCTTTCGAGAAACTGTTGGATTTCTTCCATGTGCCATGAGCGCGGCACGCCACGGGCAATGTATTGTTGGGATTTCTTTTTAGCAGCTTCTTCGGTAGTTTGGGAGAGTCCCAATGTGTGAATGGTGCTGCTTTTTCTGTAATACAAACCTTCTTGACGCTCTTTTGCGATTTTGAGACATCTGTTGAGGTAAGCGTCTGCTGTTTCACTTGGCTGGCGAGTAAGCCATGTGATTGCTCTTCTTGTCGGAATTTTATCCTGGATGTTGGCGAAAATTCCTCGAGTTCCACTTTTTGCCACCAGCAATTTGGCCATGCTGGTGGGTAAATTTAAGAATCCAGTGAGCAATTGCTTTTTGTTGTGTGTGTTTTCAGCCCAATTTCCTCCGATCAGAGCTGATGCTTTCACGTCAGGGCTCCACTGCGCAACTTCAGCAACGATCAGGCGTGGCTTGTCTTTTCCATCAATGAAGTGCTGACGGAATTCTTCAGGAGCTGCAATTCTCACTGTGACTCTGTCGATTTTTGGCAGCGTCTGCGGTTGGACCGTGATGGTTGGTTTGATCCAGATAGCTTGATTGGCATCCCCAAGTGCAAAAAGTGCAACTTCCTCGACCTTGAAGATGGCGTTGTTTCTGAGAACCCTGATCCTAGCTGGGGTAGCTCCGGGCATACTCTTGGCGGGGCCTGTCAGGAGCAGTGTGTAGCCTCCTTGGGATCCGAAGGCTTTCCAGCTGGAAACAAGTTGTTTAGCTTCAGCAATGGAATTGACTGGAGCTATATTGGTGGTGTCATCTGATTCGCCAGCTCTGATTTTTCGCATCAGTTCTTGGGATTCGAGAATCTTTGGAACTTGTGTCCATTCACTGGCGATCAGGCCTTTGATCGCTGGTGAGCTTGCATTGTGTTTCTTTTGGAATTGATCTGATTTGTTCCATCGGGTCTTTTGTTTCCCAGCTTGGGGAATGTGAGTGACATGGTGCTGCTTACTGCTATTACTGTGGGCGTAATAGGATTGCTGACCGGTGTCATCAAAATGATGTTCATGATCATTCGAATCATCATATCCGGCATTTTTACCAAGGTATGGCTGCAAGATGTGGCTGATTTTGCTGACAATCTCTTGGTCGGAACTGCTTTGAGCGTTTGTGGTGAGAACTGACAAGAGCTGTTCTCTCAGGTTGGATTGTTTCGTCTGAGACTTCTTGAACCTTTTGTTTGTCTGTGCATTTGCAATGGTATTGGGTTGCCATTGCTGCAAAACGTTGGCTAAGGCTTGCGCAAGACCATAGTCGTCACTGGCAGCAGTAGTCGCTTTACCACCACCCCAACGTTTGCGTTTTGTGACATGCGTACCATAGGCTCCTCCGGCCAGCAAGGCGCGTAAGTGAGGTAGGCTTTGCTTTTGCATGGTTTTTGTGTGCATCACCTGTGGTGTGATGCTGCTGGCTTGTTGCAACTGGGAACTTTGCTGGTCTTCAAGCATGTTCAAGCATTTCCAAAGCAAAGGAAAAACATGTTCATGTGTTGTTTGTGTGCAGTTCTCCCGTGGTGAGGAGTGCTGACATCTTGGCATCCAATATGGTGATTGGAGGGCACTGATGTATACTGCTTTTTGTGCTTTTCTAGAGCGTTTGCTATTTTTGGGGTGACCTAGCAACCAAAAGCGCATGCGTCTGCGTCGAATTTGGCTGGTTTTGCGTCGATGTGAAAGTTTGGCTGCTTTCACGCGTTTCGTACTGCATTTACGTGCGGCGAATGCCACAACGCTTGGTGATACATGGCTGGTGAAAACCGAATTCAATTTTTTCTTTTGTTTTGTGCATCTGCAATTTTTAGATTTTTTTTGGAGATTGTTTTTCAGCATCCGCTTTTTGGATGAATTTATGGTACTGGTGCTTACCCAATCCCACCAACAAGCAAAGATTGTGATGGCAAACAGCAATGCAAAATTTCGGAACGGATCATCTGCACTGATCAGGGATGTCATCGACTGCCAACATGTGAATGCTTTCTCAGAAAATGAAGCACTAAAGTGGTTCAGTTCTGTTGCATCGCAAGGTCGAATCAAACACATTGCTAAACAAGCCAGGAAAGGCCTTTGGCAACGTGGCAAATATGCAGTCAGCTTCGCACTCGGTCGAGCCCGCAATCGCCGAGATGTCCACAAAAGGGCACACCAGGAGGCGCTGACTATGAAATTGCCGGAAGTGTATCGGATGGACATTCGAGCAGTCGGGATATGTGTACGTGGAGGACCGATGTTTCAATGATCGAAAGTTAACCAGATACGAGGAAATTTACCTTCCTGACCATTTCAAAAGACAACTCCGTGGAGTTGAGGCAGCTCTTGGAAGAGGAGCTAAGAAGAAATAGATCGCAAGTTGAACAGAAGAGGTCGCAGCCCGAAGAAGCAAAAGGGACTTTTAAGCTAGCAGGGCCGGTGATGCGTCTTGCATGTGGTGGGTTGATTTGCCGAATAAATTGGAGATGTTTGTTTATGTTGATTTGTGGGATCAGAAACATTGTTTGTTTCATTTCAAGGACGGCACGGGATGGACGTTATCACCCCCCCCCACCCCCCCCACCCCATATTAACAATGTCGTGCGGGCATCTACCCGCCCGACACCTTTAGGATGGTCATCAATCCATCAATAGAGAGAGTCACATGCCCATGATGTTTGGATTCCCATTATGGGATGGATGACCATACACCATATATCCATGAGATATTCCAGTATCCCATTTATCAATGGATTGGTTTAAGGGACAATTTTAGCCGGAACACCCCATATTTTTCATGGGAAAATCGATGGTTCCCGGTGTAGATTTTCCCGACAAAACCAATGATATGTTCATAGACCATATACACCTTTTCTACATCCATGTGCCAATGATATGTTCTATCCACCATATACCCATGATATACCCATGATATATTCCATCCCTTTTTTCTTCCCATTCCTGTGAAATCACCGGTGAAATCGGCATCTGGCCAGGGGGTGGCGGCCACCACCGATGCCAACTGGGTACCTGGGCGGTGAAAAACAAAAAGTGGGCCCCCAAACGATAGCTAAGTTGGTGCAAATAACTCCAATAACTATGGTTTATGGTCCTTACAACTATAGTTATACTATGTTATACTATAGTTACTGGGGCTTAAAAACCAACTTATACCTGGGGGGCCCACATTGTAGGCTATCTGGATGAATTACATTTTCTATCTTTTGAAGCTTGCGGGAAAAATCAGATCCACATTTTTTTTACCACCAATTTTGGATCTTACACAATTCATTCCTGAAGAATGGTGATTTACACGGCCCATTCCTGAAGAACGGTAATATTTGAGTGGCCTTCAGAGTGATATTTTCACTAGTTGCCAGCCGCTAGTTCCTAGACTTGGTGATATCATGGGAAGATGAGGTTCTCACAGGTTGAGAGCTTCATGTCTTGGCAACATCTATGGTCAGCCATGTCATTTCCGTCATCCCTGTGACTATGAAGACTTCTTGTGGGGCGTTGCATCCTTCTCATCGGATGTCATCTTTCCAGTCTCTGCATGCCCAGCAACTCATGTTGTCGCACGACCCAAACTGGCTTGACATTGTGAGCCCCTTTGTTCTGTCATGGGCATAGCATTTGATACAGAAATTTCACCGACTTGAGTCCGATTGATGAAAGAAAAGCTTTGCGTGAAACAGATTTCACTGGGATCTTTAGCTTAAACACCATCTGGTTGCACTTGAACGTGCTTTTGAATCGCCTGCCGACACAGAAGTGACACATCAGCTGCAGAACATCCATTCAGGAGTTGTACCCTCTTGTTATTTAACGGTTTGCGCACTGGACAATCACTGTTTAAGTTCGGTAAATCATCATGATAATCATCATTAAATGAACCATGTTCCATAGCTATGTTAAATCACCACATGCTATGAATAGTGTGCTTTATTCATTTTGTTCAAGTTCCCGCCACAACCGCGATGTGGTTCCTCAGGTGGGCAACATTTTGATTGCCTTCCTGCCACCGTTGATGTTTGCCAACTGGGGCTTCAACATGTTTTGGGTCTTCGTTGGCACCAACTGTCTCTGCCTCTTCTGCGCCATGTCTTTGCCAGAGACCAAGGTGCGGCAGAGCACCAAGATTGGGCCAAACGTTTGGAAGGTTCCAAAACGTTGTTTGCTCATTTCATCCCATCCCCTGTTCATATTCAACACCCTTCCCCTTTGTTACCACCATGCTTTCAGGGGTAAACGTTCCTAACCGTATAAAAGGGGGATGGGATTTTCATCGTTTTGGTATACTTCTTCCAATGTCAACTGGGGACTGATCATGGTCTTCTTTTGGGAGCCCAAAACCTACGGTGATAGTGATAACATTTAAATTGTACCGGGATCACCTCCCGAACAGCGTAAGCTAATGGGGTCTTCAGCCCAGAACGTAAGCTAATGGGGTCTTCAGCCCAGAATTAGCTCCGGTGTGCACTGGTGCAGGCGCTGGGTCAGGTTCAACGAGGTTCCGGAAAAAGTTCCGAAGGTTCCGGAGAAGGTCTGGGACGCTTTGGTGCAGAGCCAGGTCAGGTTCAACAGGGTTCCGAAGAAGGTTCCGGAGAAGGTCTGGGAGGCTTGGTGCAGAGCCCGGTTAGGTTGAACAGGGTTCCAGAGACAGTGCCGGAGAAGGTCTGGGAGGCTTTGGTGCAGAGCCAGGTCCGGAGAAGGTTCCGGAGAAGGTTCCGGGAGGCTTTGGTGCAGAGCCAGGTCAGGTTCAACAGAGTTGAGGAAAAGGTTCCGGAGAAGGTCTGGGAGGCTTTGGAGCACGCTCAGGTGTTTCCAGCGCTTGGCTTCGCAGCATGCTTCAGAAAGATTTGTAAGGATAAACCTTTGCGGCTGTTGGGGATACCACCGAAGCTTATTTCATATTTTTCCGACTGTTTAAATGTGTATCAGATTATCAGATCCTGAAATATGTACTTCCGGCTGTTTAAATGATTGGCCGGCCAGGAACTCCACAGGTAGATCACACTTAATTTGATCATCTTCCCATACTTTCCTCATGTTTGAATGCCAATTTCTGGATCTCCCTCATTTTGAGGCGAACCCATATCCATTGCTCATTGGAGTTTATTTTCTCCCTATTTCTGAGGCTTAAATCCCCACAAATTCGCTGGGTAAATCCTGCATTCCTATCCGTTTCTGAGCATCGCACAAAGTGTGGCTGTGTCTGAAAATTTGGCACCTCCCTAAATGTATTGGCTTAATTAAAGCCTATAGTACTATCATTTCCCCCATGAATATGTGGCCGGGGTGTATTCCTCATGCAAGTACACCCCAAATCCACGGTTTTGTTGCCTAGTTGCATCCCAGATCCATTTTTCCCACGCGGCACAGGACAAGAGCTTAGAGGAGATTACCTTGATGTTCAACCACTGGTTCCACCCAGGTTGAAGCCAAGGGACCCGGGGGACACCAAAAATGTAGAGTACAATAACCCAATTCCAACGTATAGCTACACCCTACATATTCACTACAATCACTATATATAATTATGTGTATAATTATATAATGATATATACAAATACACATATATATATGTATATATATATATATGTATATATATATATGTATATATATATGTATATATATATGTATATATATATATGTATATATATATATATGTATATATATGTATATATATATATATATATGTATATATATATTGTATAAATAAGTAGGGGGAGTCAATAAATGTACTATCCCTTTGTGCTATAGGCAGATGGACTTGGATCATTTTTTTGGATACCCCCTCATGACAACGTTTGAAGTAGGCTTAAACCGGGGGGGCAGGGAGGCCATAGGGGTAACCCCCAAGAGTAGCAAAACGATGCAGAACAGCTTGCAGCTTCAACAATCCAGAACAGCTCAGAAGAACACACACACACACATATATATATATATATGTATAGACCAACCAGCTAATTTTTTCTTTGAAGTGTATCTATGATTGGGCATCATAGAGAGAGAGAGAGAGAGATGAACCAAGCGCTCAAATGTGGACTGTAGTTTCAAGTCATGGCATCGAATGTCCCCACGTCCCACCCTAAAGGTCCCCATGCTCCCTGGTCTGCCGCTCCCCCATGTCCCACCCTAACCCACAACCCCAAAGGAATCCAAAGGTCTTAATCATTCCGGTAAAAAAGTAACCAACCCTACAGTAAGTGATCTTTTCGTACTGGCCTAAGCGATCCTGACCCAAGAGAGACATCTCGGGGGCGCCTATGTCCCACAAAATTGGGAGGTTGATGGCAAAATCACTGATACATGGGATAGTTTAGGATTTTCCATTGGTTGAAGTACCAGAGGTTATCTCAAACTCCACCCATCTTCGAACTTGTTTGATCCTCAAGAATAAAACAGTCAGAGTCGTCACCTTCACACGGGGACATGCTCCTATGGTGACTCCAGAAATGCGTTCTTTTGGAATAGTTTATAATTATGCATCAAGTACTATTTTTATCCAAAAAGTCCCGCACCAAGTTTTTTTTGATTTGTACCGATCTCTCACCACATTTTCTCATCATATATTTTGTATTATATAATTATTATTGTATTTGCAAGAATTCATCAGATTCCACTTCAAACTATAAACCCGCATACGTATATAACAATCACCAATAATATATGACAATGTACTTTTCAACATTTGTAATAGCCAATAATACAGTAAGCATTCAAAGTTCTGTTTGACCTTTCGACCCTGACTTCAGTGCCCCGCATTTGTTGGTGTATCCTCCGTGGCAGGCGAGTGCAAGGCCACCGAAGACGCCGACGTGGATTCGGTGCATCCGTAGACCGAGCTGCTGAAAACTGCGCTCAAATGTGCAAAACTCAGCACATTTTTGAGGCGACGTTGGTTGCATTGTACAGGAGGACATTGTTGATGTGGCTTGAAATGATGGCAAAGGATAGAAAATGATGGACCCAAGCTATTTTGAGGACTTTTGCAAGTCTTCCTGCACGATTTGACACAATTTTTGCAGAGCCCTATCTTCTCGCCCTGCGACCAGCTCGATGAACATGTCTTGGGAATATCCTGTATACAGCTGGGCCGGTCTTTGAGATGGGTGTGTGTGTCACTATCACCACAGCACATGCTTCAGAAAGATAGACAAAATAATATGCTCATGACTCACTGTTTCCAGAAAGTGGCGACCAGCAGCATTTATTCATCAAGTGATTCTTTCATGAAGTTTACTGAAGTTTACTGTCATCCCTATGCTTCCGATGCAGGAAACCTAGTATATGGCCGTTGGATTCCATAGTGAGGTTGCAATGGTACCCATCGGAAGGCCCACAAATTTATAGAATGGAGCCTTTGACAACAGGGATTGTTTTAGCCCGAAGTATTGAAATTCGATTTATATCCCAAGTGGGCTGAGTGCCCAGAACGCAGGCAGCCGCTTGTTTGGGATTACAAAGTACCAGTAGTACCGCACAAGGCGGTGGGGGAAGTTTCAAAAATAGGAAACCTATAGAAGAGGTTGGTTGTTGTGAACCACGGATGGCAGAGCGAATCCACTGGTGGACCGACAGGTGGTTGGAGTTGTGTTTTTTGGAATGGTTGCAATGGTTGCAGTGGTCACCTTACCACAACTGCTGGATGTAGTGTCGTGTAGTGCAGTTGTAGTTGTAGTTGCAGTTGTAGCTGTAGTTGTAGTGTTGTGTAGTGTAGTGGAGTTGTAGTTGTAATATAGTGTAATCAGTGTAGTTGCAAGTGCAGTTGCAGTTGTAGTCGTGATGTGGTGTAATTAGTGTAGTGTAGTGCAGTGTAATGTCGTGTAGTGTTGTGTAGTGTTGTGTGGTTAGTGTAGTCTAATGTAGCGTAAGCTAGTGCAGTTGTAGTTGTAGTGTAGTGCAGTGTAATTAGTGTAGTGTAGTGTAGTATGTGCAGTGTAGCGTAGTGTAAGCTGTAATGAAGTGGTAGTTTTAGGTGTAGTTGCAGCTGCAGTTGTAGTTGTAGTGTAATGCAATGTAATCAGTCTAGTGTAGTGTTGTGTAATGTAGTGTGGTTGTAGTTGTAGTTGTATTTGTAGTTGTAGTGTGCTGCAGTGTAATTAGTGTAGCGCAGTGTAGTTGTAACTGTAGTCGTTGTTGTGTTATTAGGATTATTATTATTAGTAGTAGTAGTAGTTGTTGTAGTTGTTGCTGTAGTGTAATTGGTGTAGTGTAGCGTAATTAGATGTAATTAGTGTATATAGGGTAGTGTAGTGTAGTGTAGTGTAGTGTAGTGTAGTGTAGTGTAGTGTAGTGTAATTAGTGTATTTAGCGTAGTTTATTTACATTTGTAGTTGTAGCGGTGGTGTAGTGTAGTGTAGTGGTAGTTGTAGTTGTAATTGTCTATCTATCTATCTGTCTGTCTGTCTGTCTACCTGCAAACTTGAAAATGAAGCTATTCTGCGAGACTTCTTCAATTTTTGAACTTGACAACATCCAAAACGAAGCAATTCTGCGAGACTTCCTCAATTTTTAAACTTGACAACATCAAAAACGAAGCAATTCTGCGAGACATCCTTGAAACATGGAAAGTTGAGTGCAGAGCTGATGGCCTCGTACCAATGCGTTTTGCGATTTTTCCAGTTGTGTCTCTAAAGTATTGCGCCTGCCCGGAAAAAGTGAAGCCAGGTCATACAAAGTGCTGCACCTGTCACACAAAATCATCTTCCCAAACCTGAAGATCTCATGCTCCAAAATACAACCCTCTCAGGGAATCTCCGCCCTGACCTCCCAACATCTCTCGTGAACATGTCTCTTGTACTGCGCTTGCCATGCAAAATGCATCTTTCCAGTGTCCCGCGCCTGCCATCGTTTTTGAAAGTGCTACAAAACCCTCACGTTTTGCTCACTTTTGACAAGGCGCACAATCCCCTGCGCCTGCCACGGAAAACGACATCTGAACGTCCAAAAGTGCTCCGTACCCCTCTGTTTTTTCCACTTTTGACTTGGAAATGTGCTCCGCGCCACAACGGCGTGCGCTTTTTCGACATGTCAACTTCCAAAAGTGGTCCGAGCATGGCGTGTTTTGTACATTTTGACTTCGAAACGTGCTTCGCGCCACAACGGCGTGCACTTTTTCGACATCTCAACAAAAGTGGTCCGAACATGGTGTGTTTTGTGCATTTTGACTTCGAAATGTGCTTTGCGCCACAACAACTTCCAAAAGTGCTCCGACATATTGACTTGGAAATGTGCTTCGCGCCACAGCGGCGCGCACTTTTTCGACATCTCAGCTTCTAAAAGTGCTCCGCGGCTGAGGTGTTTTGTACATTTTGACTTGGAAATGTGCTTCGCGCCACAATGGCGTGCAACTTTTCATCCCTCATCTGGCCAGATGGCTCCGCACCCGCCGCTTTAGCGAGCCTACTTTTCCACCCTCCAGAGCCACAAATCACAGTGTTTCGCGACTTTCCTACCTTTTCGCGCACCTGGATCTTTTTTCTTCTGAGACTTTCTCTTCTTTGATCTTCTTTTTTTTCTCTTCTCTGACTCTTCCCATCTCTGCGTTTCATCTGCCCATACTGTCGGAAGTTTGACTTCTAAACATCCTTCGGCCGGGCTCCACCACGACTATTGCAACCTGGGTGGTTGTTTGTTTGAACTTTGATATGATTGAATATGGTTTAGTTTAATCTTGTACTTTTGGAACAAAAACACCAACTAGAAACTACAGATTGGAAATCGAGGAGTAGCTGCTTGACACAGGCCCTAACCCGCTCTTAGATTCTGGCGACTTGCAAGCTTTTGGCAGCCGGCCTTCTGAATGGGCTTGGTTGTTGCATGGTAGGAGCGCCTGACTAGTACTTAACAGGTGCAGTGATTTCAATTCTTGTTTCAGGTTTCAAGTTTCGAGAGTTTTTCGTGATTGTCTAATCGACTCCCGCAACTGGATCCAGACAATGACCATGGATTGTTTCAACTTGCTTTCTGAAAGGATTGGACCTGGAGAAAGGCTGTTTCATACCATTCCTGCTTGCAACAAACGATTCATTGTTTGGTGGGAGTATTGGACGCTTGTGTGGGGGGCAAGCGCACAAGGGTGAAGCGGCTGCCGGCACGGCGGGGCTGGGGACGCCTGTCCTCGCGGGACTCTCCCCAAGACCGCTTTTGGATTTGCCAAGAGAGCGCACGAGTTTTTGCGCAAAAAATGAACGTCTCATGAGAATCTGATTCTATAGGATCTTCCGGATTTGCGATGATGACCCTTGGGAGCGTGTATTAAAATGTAATCTACTAGGTAATTATTATGTACTCGTCAATTGTCACCCAGAGTATCATGCACATGCTTTGGGTACATGTTTGATTTGCCACTGCACTGACAGGGGATGTTTGATAGACCATCCCAAAACGGTAGGCTTATGGCAGCCAGGGTGAATCCCACATTAGTCAACACATTTTTACTAGGCTTGGAGTATCGGAATGTTTTGTACAAGACGGAAGCAGTTGGCCAAATTGCATGGCCATAAGACAGCTGGTAGACGAAGTGATCATTTACTTTCTTTTTTTTGGGGGGTTGCTATTACATGCTATTACTTACATGATTTTTTTTGGGGGGAGGGTGGCTCAACCACCAACTAACCGCTAAGTTCGCTTTTTCAGATGTACCCCTTGGCCTGTGCCTGAAACCTTTTTCAGTTCGACATTTCCCTCACGTGTTCTCGGGCATCCTATCGCCGCCATGGCGCCAGTTGCAGTGGTTGACAAGTCTTCAAGGCAGGTGATGCAGCACTTCGGTTTTTGTGTGCTGAAGATCCAAATTTGATTGGATGGATCCAATTTTGTGTCTTTTTTGGATTAGCGATATTAGCGGTTGACGTCTTTTTGGGATGCTAAAAATCAACATGGACCGTGTCAGAACCTTGGGGATCACCATGCTCAACATGTTCAACCCCACCTGATGCCCATGATACTAACAGTGATCAGCTCTTTGTGGGCCTACTGGTCTAGAAATTGCCATCCGGGATGCCCTCGATATTATGGCCATGGGATTTTCCCAGAAATTTCAGAACCAGGTTGTCAAGTTGTTGGTGATAGGTTATCACTGATAATCACTGATAATAATGACATTTATTAATTTATTATGGTGTTATGTCAATTTTCATGTCATAAATGTCAATTTTTCCCAGTTTATTGCCATAAAAAAACAAAAACACATATGGTCCTGTATGATTGTTGGTCCGACAAATAGGCTGATGATCCCCACTTTCCGATTTTCAGAGGCCAGGGGCGAAAAAACCACCAGTTTTATTGGTACATATTGGCTATGTACCCAATCTCATTGGATTGGTTTAAGGGAAAATCTACAGGAAACCATGGTTTTTACCATCAAATATAGGGCTTTCCTGTAAATTTTCCCATCATCCAATTCTATGACAATCAATCCCAGTCATATTTTCTATTCTGTAAAGGTTCATCCCTGATTTTCTTCCTATGGTATTGCCAGTCCTTCATAGATTAACCCATTCGATTCCTATGAAAATGGGGATGGATGTCGGTTGAAGATGGTATATCCCACCTAACATGTTCCCATTCTATTCCTATATGGATCCTCGTTAAAATTTCCACTACAGAATGGGAGGAGACGTGTACCATATAAAATGCCTGGCCAGGGTTGTTTTATATGCAACTACCTCCTTGGTACCCATCATTTTGTAGAAGAACAATTTTATCGAGCATGATAGGGTTATGCCCATCATGTTGTAGAGCCTTGCTCCCCTCGTATTTTTACGAGTCATTCGAAATCAAACCATCATTTTGTAGTGACCATAGCTTTGGTGACAGATGAATCCCCGTTCGA